GTGTCCAGGTGGCAAATGCCTTCTCGCCAACTCTCCTTCGAGGTTTAGAGAGCGGGTGGGACAGTGGAGGAGGGAGGAAAAGGGGGGCCCTGTGCCCCCGCATCTCTCTCCTCCCCTCTGCCAGCCAGGGTCTGTTCCTCCTCTGGGTTGGGTGTTATGTTACAGACACTGGTGGGTCACAGGCAGCCAAACACAGGAGTACTGTTGCTTACACAATTGCTCTTCAAACAGTAACAAACAATTTTCGTTACCCAAGTCAGATCGAATCATCTGCCTGGCCATCCTGCTTCAATACCAGCCACACATACAGGACCCAGGGCTTCACACTCTGCCCACTCTGCTGTGACAGAACTGGGCTTCATTCTGTCCCTGGCCCAGGGATGTAGGACAAAGCTCTTCCTCTGATCCCTTCTTTGAGCCGGATCAGCTGCATGGCTGTCCAAACTGTCAGGAGAAATAGAGAAGACATAAGCACCTACGCAGTTTGGGGCTCACTCAGATCGGGGGTGAGACACTGCTCAGAATCTGTGTGAAGAAGGCACTGAGAGCTTGGAGGACTCTACTGACAAATTTAGAAGGAATCCAACAAGATAACTCTGGCTTCCCACCAAAGCAGTCACTAGCCTTAGATGGAGTGTCAGGACTTGACATTTCTTTATTTAATCTTTTTTGGCCAGACAGTTTTTTCAACCAGGAATGCGTAAGCTCATTCCAAAATGTCTGCATGAGAGGCCAGTCCCACTTATTACTGAATTTTCTACCACGTCTCTTCAAAAAAAAAAAAAAAAACCTATAACCTTTTTATTTGTTTCTTAATGGTAGAGCATTTTAAAAGTACGTTTACATTTATAACCTTACTTGAACCTCAAAATAACTGTGGGAACTGGCAAAGGCTAAGGTGGTCAGGCCTAAAAATGAGGAAACAGTGGTCCAGAGAGGTTAAGTATGCTGTGCAAGAATAAATGAATGGGCTGGGACACCAGAAGTCAGGTTTTCTGATCCGGTTCAGTGCTTTGTTCTAGAACACACCTTTTCTACACCCACAGAGTGCCAGACATTTCCAGGATAATTCATCCTGCCGGTCTGTTTTTCCAGTATGACTCCCTTATCCCTTTCCACATACTAAACTGTGCTAAGCACTGTAGGCTTTCAAACACTGTAGTCTAGACTACAAAGAATCATCCTTCAGGAAGCTTTCAATCCAACAGCTATAAAAGTTTTGTTTTGCTGCCCTCCACTCCCAACCCCATCAAAGAAGGAGAAATATACATTTCCTCCCTTTTAACAGCTTAAATAGGAAGGACTGTTTTAAAAGTCTGCCTGGCCTTGTCTTCCCTGGGGGTCCAGTGGTTAAGAATCTGCCTTGTAAAAAAAAAAAAAGAATCTGCCTTGTAGGGGACAGTGGTTCGATCCCTGGTATGGGAAGATCCCACATGCTGTGGAGCAACTGAGCCCATGTGTCACAACTACTGAGCCCTACATTGCAACTGCTGAAAGCCATGCTCAACAAGAGAAACCACTGCAATGAGAAGCCCACACAAGATAGCAAAGAGTAGCCCCGACTCGCTGCAATGAAAGAAAGCCCGCACAGAGCAATGAAGACCCACCACACACAAAAAATAAATAAATAAACAAGTATTTGGGGGAAAAATAGCATGCTGGTCCAGTATGAGTTCACCACAATCAAAACTGACAACTGATTGTCTAGGCCCCTTTCAGTAAAAAACATTGTAGCATCCAGGGGTTGTTAAGTGGCAAAGCAAAGTCATTCAACTTTCATATCCTTCATCACCTAAAGGTCTGTTCATTTAAAAAATGTTTTCACATGGTGACTATAGTTAATAATACTGTACTGCATATTTGAAACTTGTTAAGAGAATAGATCTTAAAAGTTCTCATCACAAGAAAAAAAATCTTATAACCATGTATGGTCCCTAGACTTACTGTGGTTATCATTTCACAGTATATATAAACATCGAATTATTGTGTTGTACACCTGAAACTAATGCTATCTATCAATTATTCCTCAATTTTAAAACCCTATTTTTATAATTTTAAGGTATAATTTATATACCAAGAGATACATAGATATTAAGGGCAGAGTTTAATAAGTTTTGACAAATGTATTATCTACACCCAAACCAAGATTCAGAATATTTCCATCACCCCCAGAAAGTTCATGCCTATCCCATTCCAGTCAAACCCACTCCAGGCCTCCACCATTCTCATTTCTGTCACCAAAGATTAGCTGAACCCATTTTGAACATCAGATTAACTGGAATCATACTGTGTATCTTTTGTGTCTTTCTTCTTTTACTCAATGTCAACCAGACTCATCCAAGTTGTTTCAGTAGTTTATTTTTTTGTTTTTGTATTTTTTAATAAGTAGGATTATATTATTGATTCCGTTTTCAAAACCCAGTCATATTACTACTAATTTGCCCCTCAAAATTCTTTCCATTCAATATATCTCCTGCATGTTCCTTTGCATGCAGCTACCTCCTCTAACCCTCCTTGGCAAAGCTTGAAGTGAGAAAGATACGTTAGTAGAATATTTTGTCTGCAAGGATGCCATTTCAGGTAGGAGTGATTCTACCCTCAGGAGAAATTGACAACCAGGCAGTCCAGCATTGTGGTCATGAGTACAGACTTCAGAATAGACAGATCGAGGTTCTCATTTCTAGTCTAGCACTTAGCATATGGGTGGCTGGGGACAGGTGATTTAACCTCTCAGGGACTGTTTTCCCATTTGCAAAGTGATGATAATAATACCTTCCTAATAGGGGTTTGTGAGGACTAAATTATATTGTACATAAAATGTCTGGCATAATAGAAACTAATAATAACCTCAAGTTAGACTATAATAAACATCCTCCTGCTTCATTTACATACTTTCAGCTTTTCTAAGTCATAAAGTATAAATGCGTTTTATACTTTATATTTTCAGACTCTTTTAAAGATAAAGAGTTCATGATTACATCTAGAAAACTCTATCAGATATTTACTTAAAAGAAATGTTATTTCCTCTGGAAAAAAAAGGAAAGCTTTTTATCATTTATTCAATGACAAGTATATACTGAGTTCTGATACTGAGGGGCTCTTCATAAGAGTTAAGGACACAGACCTAGCTTTCAGGATATTTGGTTTTGGAGGGGAATAAGATAAGCACAAATATAACTATAATACAAAGCAAAGTATGGTCAATAATAATAATAATAATTAACATCTATTCATATAGTGGTTAAGAGCATGGTCTCTGGAGTCATATGATTGAAATAGTGGCTCAGTCATATGTTGTTGGGGAAGTTACTTAACCTCTTTGTGTGTTATTCACTTGTAAATTGGGAATAATAATAGTACTTATCTAGCAGGGCTGTTAGAAGAAGTAGAAGAGTTAATACATGTAAAAAATTAGTACATTAAAAAATATGCAATAAATAATAACTAACACTCATTGAGGGCTTCCCTGTTGCCTCAGTAGTAAAGAATCCGGCTGCCAAGGCAGGAGAAGAGGGTTTGATCCCTGGGTCAGGAAGATCCCCTGGAGAAGGAAATGGCAACCCACTCCAGTTTTCCTGCCTGGGAAATCTCATGGACAGAGAAGCCTGGTGGGCTACAATCCATGGGGTCGCAAAAGAGTCAGACACAACTTAGCGACTAAACAACAACAACAAAAACCCACTTATTGAACACTATGTGCCAAGGACTGCGTTAAATGGTTTCTATGCATTTCTTCACAAGATCTCCACAATGCTGTCTCCACTATTATGCCCATTTTACTCATAAGGCAACTGAGGGGCAGGAAGTTTAGGTAATGTGCCCAAGATTAGATAGCTAGTAAATAGCAAATCCCATAGAAAAGACATATCCATAAAATGGGGACAGTGATAAAAGTATTCACCTTAACCAGAATTAAACAAATTAATCCTTGAATAATGGTTAGAACAGAGCCTAGAGCACAATAAGGCCTATGTTAAATACAAATTGCTATGGTAATTCTGAAATGGCAGTAAATAACTAAGGAAGGCTTGAAAGGAGAGAGAGAAGTGGAGCGAGAGGAGGAAAGGGGAGGAAAGGAGAGAAGAGGGAGAGACAGGAGGGGAGGAGAGAGGAGGAAGAGGTAGAGGAAGAAGAGGGTGGAGGAGCTGGAGAAAGGGGGAGGGAGACAGACTGGCAAAGGTCAGAGGAGAGCAGGCAAAAAGAAATAATGGGAGTAATTAAGTTTGATTAGGTTAAAAACAAAACCCCTCCCCTTTCCTCCAGTTAGTTACTATTTCTGCCAGCTGCACCTTGATATATCTTTTACCATCTTCTTTGATTCCTGTAGAATCGGCTATCCTTACCCTCTCGTCATCCATTTTACTTATTTATGGAGTGCCTCTATGTGCCCGGCACTGTTCTGGGTACTGGGGATACTCCAATGAACAAGACAGGCCACATCTCAGTTCCTATTCTGCACTATAATAATACCAATACGCCAAACTGGATCCCCAGCTTTTGGTCAGCCCTTCTCTAATCCACACTCCACAGGGTCACCAGAGAGACTAGATGATACAGATCCGGTCCGGACACTCCCTTGTTTAAATCCCCCTTGTTTAAATAGATTTCCGTCTCCCGAGCATCGTGTTCAAGGCCGGTCACGAACTGTCCCGCACAGCCTTATCTCCCAGGCTTCACCTCCATGCAGACCGCACTTGTGACACAGTAATTCACTCAAAATCTTAGACACACGCACTTAGAAATAAGCACCTGCTGAAGGGACGTGGCTAGAACTCCATCCCTATTTCATCCTTCTACACTGAGACCTTAGGATAGCCTGGTTGCCCCCTCCTTGCCTCCAGCCTGTCAGACTAAAAATCAGCCCTGACACCTCCACAGCCTGGGCATCCTGAGAAGCCTGTGAGCACTCCTACCCCAGCGGGAGCCGGAAGAGGACGGGCTTCGCGCGGCCTCGAGGCCGCCATCTTGACTGAGTTGGCCGGAAGAAGTCTGGCAAGTCGGCAAGCGAGTGCGCACTGAGGCTGCGCGGTGGCCGCGCCGCGGCAACCTTCCCGAGCCCTCTGCGGTCCAGTCCAGCAGCCGCAGAACCCTGTGTTGTCTCTCCTAGTCCTCCTGCAGCCGCCCCGGCCGCTGTCCACCGGGGTGTGTGCAGCGGCTCGCACGCCCCGCGGCCCGCGTACGCGCTCTGCACCTGCCCACCCGAAAACATGTTGCAGAAACCCGAGAGCGGGGCTCGCCCCATCCCTCAGGCGGAGAGGGAGATGGATGGCAGCCATGACGGTGAGACCCAGGCTCTGACCGCCTCGCAGGAGATGGCCCCGAGCCCCCTTCTGCAGGAGAGCCCCGAGGAGGACCTTGGCGCTGTAAGGGAGGAGGGGGCTACGGAACCCTGTCTCACCCCGAGAGGCGCGAGGGCTTTGGCAGCCAAAACCTTGGCCCGGCGTAGAGCCTGCCGCCGTCTGGATCGGACGGTAGCCGAGTTGGTGCAATTTCTGCTGTTGAAGGACAGAAAGAAGAGCCCCATCACTCGCTCCGAGATGGTGAAATACGTTATCGGAGACTTAAAGGATCTATTCCCTGAGATCATCGCAAGGGCCGCAGACCATCTGCGGTATGTCTTCGGTTTCGAGCTGAAACAGTTTGACCGCAAGCACCACACTTACATCCTGATCAACAAACTAAAACCTATTGAGGATGAGGAGGAGGCTCTGAGAGGAGATGGCCCCAGATTGGGTCTCTTAATGATGATCTTGGGCCTTATCTACATGAAAGGTAATAGCGCCAGAGAGGCACAGGTCTGGGCGATGCTGCGTCGGTTGGGGGTGCGTCCCTCAAAGTATCACTTCCTCTTTGGGTACCCGAAGAGGCTTATTATGGAAGATTTCGTGCAGCTGAGATACCTCAATTACAGGCGTGTGCCTCACACCAACCCACCGGAATGTGAATTCTCTTGGGGTCCCCGAAGCAACTTGGAAACCAGCAAGATGAAAGTTCTGGGGTTCGTGGCCAAACTCCATAAGAAAGAACCCCAACACTGGCCAGTGCAGTACCGTGAGGCCCTGGCAGATGAGGCTGATAGGGCCAGAGCTGGGGCCAGTGTGAGGGCTAGGGCCAGCACCCACCCCTGGTGAGGGCCAGGTGGGGGTGGGGGGATATAAAAGCTACCGTCTGCGTCATAAGTAGACTCGGTGGGGAGAGGGTCTTTATTTATGTAGCATTTGTGTTCGTGTAACTAGGATTTAGTTTTTGTATCTTGCTCAGTTTTGCTATGTTTAATATATTGTTAAATTGATGTTTATAAATGAAATTCGTCTACTTTTTCCTGTAGGATTTTGTTGTAGATTTTTGCTGGTTTTGTAAAATGAATTGAAAATCTTTACATTTTCTTCTGTGGTCTTGAACAAATTATGCAGCACCAAATGATGTATTTAATTAGTTTGAAGAAACTCAGCAGTATGATGATCTGGTGCCAGGGGAAAAAAATAGCTGAATGGTACCTAGCTTTTGTCTATTGTATAAAGAAAAAAGACTGACATGTAATTCTGCTTAGTTATTATAATACCTGGTGGGGGTGGGGATGCAATAAATTAGAGGTATAACCTGGTACACCTAATAAATATTTGTTAGGCATCTTTTGTGTGATACTCTGTTGCGGGTATTTGGGAATTAAAGGGCTTCCCAGGTGACTCAGGTTAAAGAACCTGCCTGCAATGCAGGAGACCCAGGTTCCATCCCTGGGCTGGGAAGATCCCCTGGAGGAGGGACTGGCAACCCACTTCAGTATTCTTACCTGGAGAAGTCTGTGGACAGAGGAGCCTGGAGAGCTACAGTCCATGGGATCGAAGAGTTGGACATGACTGAGCAACTAATACACATGCTGAGCAAGATAAAGGTCCTGCTCTTCAGAGCTGGGCAGTAAATAAATAAACCAGAAATTACAGTTCAGTGAGTTGAAGGCTGCAGTGGGACATCCAGCCCCACCGGAGTGATTGGGTGAGGTTTGCCTGAAATTACCTTTAGTGGAACTTCAGTGTAGGGACGGTGAAAAGACAGGGTGGGAGGAGACGGGCAGGCGAGGGGAGGGGGGTGAGGAAAAGAAGTTGCAATGAGGAGATGGTATTAGAAATGACTACTTAAGATGCTCTTTAGTTACATGGGATGACTTGATAGATAGCAGATCTGGAAAACACCCACCTTTGGCCAGTGCACTTGGCCCAGGGCAGTTTATTACAGTGCATACATGATGGTGTCTGTTGACATTTTGGTCTCCATCTCCCTTCTCTCAAGCTTCATACGTTGTCCTCTTCTACCAAAGCTCCCAGGGACCAAGCACTATAACAATTCTGGAACAGTATGTAGGGTGGAGGGTATGTGTGACGTCCACTACTGTCAAGAAGTCTTCACAAACTCTCTCTTGGCACCAGAAAGCCCAGCACCTTCATCCATGTCTCTGCTTGCTGCTTTCCACTTGCTATCTCTCATTAGGAGAACTATAGATGTTTTTCACATTCTTAATACCCATGAAGAGTCATCAACAAAAGCAGCTCAAGCCTGTGCAGTGCCCACCACCTTCACTCTGAGGATGAATCCTGTAGAATGGGTACATAGAAGAATAAGGAACCTAGATGAGTGATAACCAAACTAGAGCTGGGTGTAGGAGGATTGAGAAGCTGTCCCCCTACAGCTGCCATATACAGAAGACCCACTTCTTTCTCTCTTTACTGCCAGTTTTTGTGTGTGTGTACTTTCCATTGCACCTGAATAACATATCTGAGTATGTTAAGGTTAGCACGGAATACAAATACTTTGAGATAGAGGCCCAGGGATCCAAAAAATCACAGACCAAAAGCTATAAGTTTATGGGTAAAGAAGTTTACTAATGATTATGACTTCTGGACAGTTTATTAATATTAATTCATTAAACAAAATTACTGAGTGCCCACTATATGCCAAGGACTCTGCCGGGTTCCAAAGATAAAAAAGGGAAAACTGATTTTACCCTCAAGGAATAATAGTGATAATTTCTCACATTTGTATTTTCTCACAGCTGTTGAGAGGTCAGCGGTGTGTGCACCTGAAGGTCTGATTACTTGGTGATTTGCTTATGGTCACTTGACAAAAAACAGCACTAAGACAAGAACCCAAGTCCCTTGCCTCCCAGTGTGTTTCATTCTAATACATTGTGCCCCATGTCTGGCTTCCGATACGTTGTATGTGATTTTATTTATCACAACTGCCAGAATCAAGCGAGGCACGTGTAATTAATGCCAGTTGCCACTGCAGTCCTTATGGGGTAAATAGAATAGAAATACTTCCCATTTCACTGGCAGTAGAGGTGACGCTGAAAGGCAGATGTATAGTTCATGGCAAGATAGGACTAACAACTACCATTTATTAGACATTGCTACAGGCCAAAAGCATTCCCCTCTCCTTTTCACAACCATATTGCAAAGTTGGGTATTATGAAATACCTTCATTTTACAGATATTAATACTTGCCATTTATCCAATACCTAATATGAGCCAGCTTTTTAATGCTTTACATATGTTTTAATGATTTTTAAAACAATCTAACAGGATAGATACTATCTGTTCCATTTTGAACTATGCAAACTGAAACTCAGAGAAGCTGTAAAGTTCTCATAGATAGCGTATGACATAACAAGGGTTGGAACTGAAGCCTGACTGGGTCAAAACCCCACAACTTTTCACTGTTACACATTTCCTTCTTTTTGGAACTTCTTTCAGACTTGGGGACTCATGTTCTTTCTTCCAAACATGGCTGTCTCTCTGGAGATACAAACAAGGATTGTATAACCAAGGTAATTATGACAAGACTCTGGTCTGTGAGAAGGTAAAAAGGAGGTTAAAATAAAGTTGGAGAGTTATCTGTGGACATTGGTTCCAGCTCTGCCTACCTGCAGTGTTCTGAGTGCTGACTACAACGTGTAGAATGTGTAGCTTTACTCAAACTCAGCACGTTTTGTTCTCATAGGCCATGTTTCCTCAATCTTCGTTAGTCTGCTCTCTCCATTAAGGCTCAAATTAAGTCTTTCATGCCATGAAACAATCAAATACCATTTGTGGACCTGCAAATATTCCCAGCGTTGCTTCCAGATGGTACGGAGGGCTGGCAGAATTCATATCCTTGCCTCAGGATTAAAGACCTCCATGTCACAGATGCCATCATCAGCTCCTCAGAAGTACTAAAAGTGTGGCCTCTGGGCCCATGTGTAGAGCAGACCTTGGCCATGGTGAGAGCAGGAGATGAATTCCCGCATGGCTTACGGTCACTCACATGAGGAAGAAGGAAGGCCTGGATCCCTGGTCTTCTTTCCCTTCAGGCACAGGCAGAACTAGATCTTCCTGGGTGAAACTGTGTGAGTGGGAGAGCAAAGAGATTTTGTCAGGGGAGTGATAGCAGATGGATTACTTCAGATCACACTTACTCTACCACAACAAGGTAACAAAACCAGGAAAGAGAAGTCCCTCGAAAACTGAATCAAGTCTTAGACAATGGGAAAGTTTCAGTTCTGCCACAAACTCTGCAGATAGCTTGACATTCACCAGAGTCAGGACTTTTGACCCACTGGAACTTGGAGAGTGGGTGTTTGGAAACAGGCTCCAGTTGATTACAGCCCCAACATCTAACAGTCACGGAGGGCTCTGGAGGTGGCAGCTCATTCACAGCCCCTGTAAATCAGGCCTCAATTCATAGGCTCAATCACAATTTCCACTTGAGATAATTATGCTCCATGCCTTGGTCATGGTGGCAACTGATGCTTGTGCAAATTAGTCCTCAAATTGTGCAGCCCAGCAGAGATGGCAATAATTACCTCCCAGCAGAAATATAGTGTACTGACTAAGGAGGTTAGGTGTTCTGAAAAGTGTCCCAATCAAGGTCTTTTAAAAGTCATGACTATGTGACCTTGAACAAGGAATTCCAAACTCTGAGGGCTGAAACTTTAGGAAAGATTAGTGGGTGATTGGAGTTAATGGTTAGCTACACTCCACACCCATAACCCATCCTACCAGCCGACTGCAGACCCTGCCCAGTTCCCAGGCTAGTCGCCACTGATAACAATAGCAGTCAACATTATTAAGCCTTATCTACCAGGCATGGTGCTAAGATGATAACTGAAATGATAACCAAATTGGCTCCCTGTCTACTCCTGTACCCTCTCAACAGCCAGTCGAAGGTGGACTGGGCGAAATTTTTCTTCCTGAAGCAGTTCAACAAAGGGAGACTTGGCCTCCTGCTGATCACTCTCCTGGGCATCCTGGCAGTCGTGCTTATCAAGGTGGGATACTACAACAGACCCTGGCCACCTCCTCATCGTATCTGCTGAATTATTCTTCTGCTAAGTGGCTAACAAACCAATCATTTTTAAATTGTACCAGAACTTTTAAGAAGATATGCAAACACACCATCTTTGCCATTAACCATTAATAAAACTCACCACTTCAATCAAAGCCCCCCCATTTACCCACCCTCCCGGCCCCCCAGAACTGAGCATGCTTGCTCAGAGAACCTGCGTCCCTAGAGCTCTGGGCTGGATGGGGAATGTGCTGGGTGATCCCACGTTCCCAGAACCTGCTCAGTGACTCCTCCTCTCCAGGGACATGGGGCTCGCCACCCCCACCTTCAGGCAGCACCCCCTGAAGACTTCCAGAGCCCGCCCCACCCAGGTTTCCAGGTCTCAGTCCAGAGAGGTGAGGCAAGATCTCCCAGACCCCTCAGGGTTTGGGGCACTAGAACTGGGGTGTGGGGATCCCTGTCCTTGATCCTGGGACCTGAAGACTGACCTCCAGAAGGCGTTCCTCCTTTTCCACCAGTCTCCGTCCTGTCTCGTGCTTGGCTTGTGATGGTCAGTTGTAACATCCACATGGGGGTAAATCCTCAGGCTCCTGGAAGGCAGCTGCCAGGTTGGTGCAGGAATCACCTGTCATTCATAGGCTGTGTGCGTCTTACAAAGCCCCTGGCCTGTTTTCCTTCTGTTGTGACAGTACTCAGACAATACCCGGCCTCAAGCAGGGCCTGCATGTGGCAAGTCAGTGGTTCTTTAGGGAGGAATCTTGTTTCTGTACCATGAGGCAAGTAAGCATCCCCTTGGCTTCCCTTGTGGCTCAGCTGGTAAAAAATCCGCCTGTAATGCCAGAGACCTGGGTTTGATCCCTGGGTTGTGAAGATACCCTGGAGAAGGGAATAGCTACCCACTCCATTATTCTGGCCTGGAAAATTCTATGGACTGTATAATCCATGGGGTCGCAAAGAGTCGGACATGACTGAGCGACTTTCACCTTCACTTCACTTCTACACAACAGCCCCATGAGGCAGATTCTGCATTGGCTGTCATTGCAACACTGTAGGCAGACCACAAGGAAAGCATAATTCCTTTCATTCTGTCAGTGCACAAGTTAAATGACTTGCCCAAGGTCATGACATAATTTGTGAGCGGTGAATCCAGAACTTGAACCTGAATCTCCTGGTTCTTGCTGTTATTCCACCCTGCTGGTCTGCAGAAGGTTCTCAGGGAGCACCTAAGCTCCCTTTGGGAAAATGGGGCTGAGGGAGAAGAAAGAAAACATCTGGGCCTGGTCCTTTATACCATCACCTAGAACACCCAGAGGAG